GACGGTTCGTAGGGGGGGAGGCGGGGGGGAGATCCAGCGGGGGGGGGGAGGACAGGGAGGAACCGGCAGGATGGGGGGGGAAGCTTACCTGCTCCTGCTGGTTCCTCCTCCGGCAGCTCAGTTTGGAGTTCCCCCCCGCGAGTTTCGCGGGTCTTCTTTCTTGTCTATATACTAATAGTGAAGTCGCCCCCGTGCGTGCGGATACCTAAATCCGCGCATTGGGGGCACCTGGAGGGAGGGAGATTTTCGTGCACACTTGGGGCAGCCCCCAGGTGTGCACAAAAATCTAAAAACCCGGAAAAAATATCGGGGGATACTTAAATCCCCCCAAAAGTGACAGAGCGTCCCCTGCGCATGCGCAGGGAATGCTCTGCGAACTCCCTCACCGCCGCCGCTGCTGCTGCTTGGGGGGGGGGAGAGAGAAGTGAGGCCCGAGCGGCAAGCTGCTCGGGCCTCGCTTTGGAGGCGGGGGGGAGAAAGAGCAGCGAGGCCCGAGCGGCGAGCCGGGGGGGGAAGGCAAGGGGGGGAGATCGAACAGGGGGATGGAGGAGACGGGGGAGGAACCGGCGGGATGAGGGGGAACTTACCTCCTCCTCCTGCTTCCTCCTCTGCCTCATGTGTGGAGATCCCCCCCCTGCGAGTATCGCGGGTCCCACCCCTTGTCATATATAAAAACAAAGTCCCATAACTTCTTTTCTATGCACAGAATAGTCTTTCTGCCGTTATCATATATAAAAACAAAAGTTCCGTAATTCCTTTCCAGCTGTTTGTCCGTTAGTCCCAAAAGAAAGGACTCTGGTTTCAATTGTACATTAATCTTTAAAATCTTCTGAATTAATAATGGTATTTGTACCCAGAATTTTTTAGCTTTCTTGCGTGTCCACCACATAGGATAGAATGTCCCTTCATGCTGTTCACATTTCCTTCATAAACTACAAGTACCAGTGTGTGTGTGTGTTTGTAATTTCATCCGCATTACTATCATTGCCCCACTTTAGAGGGGCACTAAAATATTCCCCTGGCCCTTGGGGTAAGTTTCAGGAGGGTAGCCGTGTTGATCTGCAGTGGAAGAGCCGAATTCAAGTCCAGTAGCAAGTTAGAGACTTGGGGGGCATGAGTTTTAACTCTCAAAAGCTCATAGTCCGAAAACCTTGTTGCTCTCTAAGGTGCTACAGGACTCAAATCCGGCTCTTTTACTTGGAATAAGGTTTTTCTGTCATCTGCAACCCCAGAGATTTAGATTGCTGCTGATTCCGAAAACTGCCATTTGTCTGGCACTGAACCAGTTCCCCACACGACTACTGTACTGGGTTTTGTCTCAGTTCGAAGATAGGAAGAGCCCTGCCGGATAGGACCAGTGGTTCCATCTAGTCCAGGATTCTGTTTCACACGGCGGCCAACCAGTTGCCTGGGGTATACAACAAACGGAGCACAGAGGCCAAGACCTTCCCCCAATGTTGCCTCCTAGCACCACAGGAGGTGGCGGCGGCTACAAGCATGGACGGCTTCAAAAGGGAATTAGATACACATCTGGAGCAGAGTCCCTTGGACTGCAAGAAGATCAAATCAGTCAATCCTAAAAGAAATCAACCCTGACTGTTCCCTGGAAGGCCAGATAATGAAACTGAAGCTCAAATACTTTGGCCACCCAATGAGAAGGGAGCACTCACTGGAGAAGACCCTGATGCTGGGAAAGATTGAAGGTCAAAGAAGATGGGAACGGCAAAGGATGAGATGGTTAGACAGTGTCACCGATGCAACTAACATGAAGTTGAGCAAACTTCAGAGGACGGCGGAAGACAGGAAGGCCTGGCGTGATCTGGTCCATGGGGTCGCGAAGAGTCGGACTCAACTGTGCGACTGAACAACAAATGGAACAGAGGTCCATCAGTGGCTATTAGCCACAAGGTATAGATAGGGGCTCTGGGGCAAGTGGTGCTCTGTCTTCTTGGTGCTTGGGGGGGGGGGTAAACAGTGGGAGGGCTTCTAATGTCCTGGCCCCACTGGTGGACCTCCTGATGGCACCTGGTATTTCTGGCCACTGTGTGACACAGAGTGTTGGACTGGATGGGCCTTTGGCCTGATCCAAGATTGGCATCTCTTATGTTCTTATGATAAAGAGGTTGACTATCTGGGAATATGGAGGTTCTCTTTAGTCAACATAAAGGTAAATGTTTCCCTTGCTCAAAAGCCAGTCAAATCCAACTCTAGGGGGCGGTGCTCATCTCTGTTTCCAAGCGAGCGCTGTCCAAATATTTTTTCCGTGGTCCTGTGGCCGGCATGACTAAACACCGAGGCTCACGGAGCGCTGTTACCTTCCCACCGAAGTGGTACCTATTTATCTACTTGCAATTTCTTGCTTACTTTATTTGAAGCAATAGGTGCATAACAGGATCAACTGTTCAGAATGAGAGAGAAACATGGAGCCCTAGAGAATATAGTGAATTCAAAAAGCTGAGGCCCAATTGCGGGATTTCCCGCGCGCGCCATTGAGCCTGGGAAGCAACCCTTTTAATTAATCATAATATATTCGCTTCTCATGGATAGTACCATGAGATCACCCAAGCTACTACCCGCCAGCAACCACCTGTGGCCTTGAGAGATACGGACGATCCAGCAACTAGGCAAATTAAGCGCATCAACAGGCATACATGGGAAAGTGAAAGCAGACAAGCGCATACATAGATAGACAATAAAACATATTGGCAGCTTGCTGACATACTGCCCCCTTGAAAATTAACTTCCCACGGCATGCCCCTGAGTTCTAGAATTATGGGAGGGGGGGAAAGGCTGGGGGGGGAGGAGATGCAGTCCCCAGTTCTCTGGGGATGGGGAGGATGAATTCAAATCCTCGTTCAGCCATAAATGTTCAGCCAGGCTCTCTCGTTCAGCCTAACTTACCTCGTAGGGTTGTTGTGAGGCTATCAATGGTAAAATATAGGAGGGGCAGACGATGTACGAGCTAAATGGAGGAAGGGTGGGGATAAAAATGTAGTGAATAAATTTTGGACACTATCATCACAGTTATACGCAGGGTGGTTTTATCATGTATGTTCTAAATCAGTGGTCCCCAAAAATTTTGAGGCTGTGGGTGCCTTTGGAACCTCAACAGGATGCGGTGAGCGCAGCCACAAAATGGCGGCTGCAGGTGGTGGAACCAGACACAAAATGGCTGCAACGGCTTATCTTCAGTCACGCAGTGAAGATCCTTGTGCTGTGGTGGCAGCTGCTGCTGTTTTTTTTTTTTAAATCTCCAGTAGCCAATCAGAAGCCTTGCTGGGCAAAAGTCCACTTTCCCCCGCCCACTTTTTAAAAACACTTGTTGGGTACCAGGAAAGGTGTCAGCGAATGTCATGACACCCATGGGCGCCACGTTGGGGACCCCTGTTATAACGTGTTAGCTGCTTTGGTGGCCCTTGTAAGGACAGAAAGGCAGGGTGCAAAGTCTGTAAATGATCAACAACAACGATATCTCGTGCTGTTTCTCAAGGTGTTCCGTTCTCACCCTCAGGTGCTCCCGGACTACCTCAAAGGGCTCTTCAACACCCTCCCTTCCGTGAAGCCAACTGAGCAACAGTTCCAGCAGATCTCCAAGCTGGCCGCTCTTCAGCACCGGGCCAAAGACAGCGTATACCTGCCTACCTTGTAGGTGCCTTGGAGATAGAGCGATAGCCTTGTTGCGGGACAAAAGGGGAGACACGCGGGAATCGGCTGTCAAACACGAGTGGCGGATTCTCAGTTCCCACCCGTGGGGTTCCCAATATGAATTGGAAGCATGGCACTTGGAGAAGGGGCTTCAGTCTTCCCCCTTCACTGTGAGGGAGGTTGGGCTGAGAGTGTGTGACCGGCCCGAGGTTACCCAGCGAGCTTCCGTGTCAGAGCAGAGGGGGGTTCCGAACCTGGGTCTCCCAGATCCTAGTCCGACACTCTAACCACTACTCTCCAGGTTTTAGGGATCGCTGAGAAGGGGACACATCTCATGTCATGTACCCAGCATGGCTCATTGTACTGGTATAGCTTCCTGAGGAGGCATAGGCTGAGGTCCAGCGGGGCAGGTCACAGGCAAGGTTGCAGAGACTAACCAAAGTCCAGTGCAAAAGTCAGAGGTCCCAGAGAGCAGGTTTACCAAAGTCTAGTCTGGGGTCAAGGAGTTCCAGGCAGCAAGTCCAGTCCGAGGTCAGGGGTTCCAGAAAATCCGATTGTCAGGTCCAGTCCAAGGTTCAAAGATGCAGAGGTCCAGTAGCAGCAAGGCTGATGGCTCAGTAGCAAAGTGCACTTGTTGCATCCACAAGCTGCTGCTTCTCCCAGCTGAATTTATAGCCCAGTTTTAATGAGCTAAGCTCCCAGCCAATTCCCCGGCAGTCATCCTGAAACTACTCATTCGTCTCTTCAGTTGACAGCTGACGACAGGCCATGACTCTCACACTTCTTCTCCTTTCTTGCAACTCTAAGTGTCTCTGGCAGAGTCGGTGCTGCAAGGGTGCGGGTGAGCTAGGTGGGCTGGGAGTGGCTGCTGAAGACTTGCTTACTGCTTCAGAACTACAAGGTGTTGGGCTCAGTTTCAGCTGTAGGCTGTGACTCCTGACCAGCTGATCGCCTGATCTCTTGCTGTTCTCCTTCTGGCTCAGTTCAGTTACCAGCTGTTCAGTTACCGGCTCAGGGCCAGCAGAGGTAGCTCTTTGTCTGATAAATCTGAGCCATCACTTAGCACAGACTGACTTATGACACTCAGGCTTCTACAGGGTCTTTAGTATTTTCTGCCAGCTTGCCCTGGATTGCCTGTGATCTCTCCTTAATTTCCCTCCCCCCCCCAGACGGGAGGTCCAGGATTACATCCCTCCTCAGCTCTATCACCTCCTGGAGGCCCAGACATGGCTGGACTTGACCTCACAACACATACAACAGACGCTGGCACTGAGTGCCCACCAAGCTCGGGCGCAGTTCCTAGGTAAGATGCAAGATAGTGGGGCTGCTATAGGGGATGGATCATGCCCACCTAATCCAAACAAGAGACAGTGCCAATCCTCACATGGACCTCAGAAGAAGTAAATCCTGCTTAGTTCGACAGAATTTACTCTCTAGTAAGAGCGCTGCAAATCACAATTGTTATCCCGGATCTTCTGTTTGAAACTGCAATCAAATTGGAAAGGCTGGAGAGGGCTCTTGGCGAACTGGAGGCTTTTTTGCCTTCTCATTTCCTCACTTGTAAGTTCCGTTTGCTTCATGGGGGAGGGGGTGTCTGTTCTGCATGTATTCTACTCCCTCTAGTGGTCGATTCCATTTTACTTTAGTTTATGTCTGGCATAAAAACCTGTAGTTTAAATCTGCATGGAGATAATGCAGGACATAAACCAATGTAGTATCGAATTGACCACTAGAGGGAGTGAAACGTGGGCAGAACAGAAACTCCCTTCCCAGAAGAAACAGGAACTTACAAGCAAGGAAGATGAGAATGCAGAAAAGCCATGCACTGAGCAGGAACAAGAATCAAATCCCGTAGCACCTTAAAGTCCAACAAGATTCCCAGGCTATAAACTTCTGATAGTCAAAGCTCCCTTTTTAGATTCAGACCAAAAAACCATTGAATTGATAATCTTCTTTCTCACCAAGAGGATTCTGGGAAGTCCCCAAGTGGGTGTGAAGGCAAGAAACGTCAGTGCTTTTCTTCTCCCCTCGCTATAGCAGCCAGTGTTGACAGGTACACTGCTTCTGAATATGGAGGTTTGATTTTGCTATCGCAGCTAATAGCCTTTTTGTATATCTGTCTAAGCCATAGCCATACCTTGTAGAAATGAGTTCCATAAATTAATTGTATTATTTATTTATTATGATAGTTATTAGGTCCCACCTTTCTTTCCAGTGGGGGCCCAAAGCGAAGGGGGATTTGAACCTGGGTGTCCCAGTCCAACACTCTAACCACTACCTTACACTGAATCAGCTCGCTGCCAGTCTCTTTAATTTAAGTGACGCTGCAGGTTTTTGGAGGGGAAATATTATTTCCCTTATTCACACGGAAGCTGCCTTAGCCTCACTGTGCAAGGAAAAAGACAGTACACAAACGTTTAAGGCCCTTCGTGCACCAACAGCTTGTTCCGGAGAATCCGCGGAGTCAAGGGTTGACTTTGCAGTCGCACACATTCCCTTTGTACTGGTTCCCCCTCCAGTTTATTTAATTGTATATTCTGTATGCATTCTGTTATCTACAAGCAAAACCCGCATTTTTTGAGCTAACTAGCTGCCAACCCCTCCTCCCTCCTTCTCCATGATTCTGCAGAAAGAAACGGAAGGGAGGGGGTAGGCCCACACATGCAAGACTGACACATTTGGGAGCACGGAATCCTCTAGTCTTTTATATTTACTTGTTCCTTCTTATGCTTTCTCTGGCTTTTTAAAAGTTTGCCTGAGTGGGAAGACACGTCCTCTTTTGTCTTTGGAGAAGGAGGGAAAGAAAACAGAACAGGGAGAGAGCGTCAACCTGTATGCATTCTGTATGCATTCTGCATCTACAAGCAAAACCAGCATTTTTTGAGCTAATTGGCTGCTTTGTCTAAGATGAAGAGAAAGGCAAACTTCTCTTAAAACTTTCAACTGCAGACCCAACACCTCCCTCCCTCCCTGATTCTACAAAAGGGAAGGGAGGGGGAAATTCAGGCCCACACATGCAAAACTGACACATTTGGGAGCAGGGAATCCCCTCGTCCTTTATATTTACTGATTCCTTCTTATGTTCTCTCTGGCTTTTTTAAAGTTTGCCTGAGCGGGAGGACACATCCTCTTTTGTCTTTGGAGAAGGAGGGGAAAGAAAACAGAACAGGGAGGGAGCGTCAGCCTGAAGAGAGAGTGGCGGAAACGAGGGACAGTGGGCAGCACTTAAATACCCGCAGAAACAATTCTACTTTAGGAAGGATTAGCGATTCGAAAGCAAATGAGAACAAAGAATCGCAGCAAAAGGAGTTTTGGTAGTTGCAGGGCAACGGTGTGCTGGGAGCGGCCTGAATGCAGATTCCTGTCAAACAAATGCAGAAACCAGAGAAAGCCACAACACAAAGTAGAAGTGAAAGCGGGAGGGAATGCAGAATGGAAGAATCGGATGCGCTCAGAAACCGAGGCAAAATACGGGTGCAGAAAGGCCTAAATCAGGGATCCCCAAGCCTGTTTCCGCCTGTGAGCACCTTTGTAATTCTGACATGGCATGATGGGTGCAGCCACAAAATTGCTGCTGAAGGAGGTCTTTTGCCTCCTTCTCTGCGTAATTATTTCCCTAGAGGGGGTCCCCATGGCTTTGTAGACTATTCACGGCCTATTCTTTTATGCAGGTCTGCTGAGCGCCTTCCCCATGTTTGGTTCGTCTTTCTTCTACATCCAGAGCTGCAGCAACAACACCATTGTCTCCCCGTGCATCTTGGCCGTGAACCAGAATGGACTCAACTTCCTGAACAAAGAAACCCACGTGGGTGCTGTTGGCTCGTTTCTGAAACCCCAGGAGCCTTGGTCCTGTGGGTTGTAACCTGGGTGTCTCCTCCTAAATATGGGGGGAACGCCCCGATTCCTGCGGGGTTGGGGAGAACAGGGACCATCTACCCACCTCCGGGCATCGCTATCAGATGATTCTCTGGCGTTTTAAGAGAGGGGTCCCCAGTCTTTTTGAGGCTGTGGACACCTTGGGAATTCTGTCACACCATTCTGGGTGCAGCCACAAAATGGCTGCCTTTGCTTTTTTTTTCAGTCACACAAAATGGCTGCCGTTGCTTTTTTTTTTCAGTCTTTCAGTGAAGATCCTTGTGCTGTGATGGCAGCTACTGACAAAGCCATGTTTTTAAAAATCTGCACAGCCAATCAAATCTCCAATGGCCAATCAGAAGCCTCACTGGGCAAAAGCCCCACCTGGCCCTGCCCATTTTTCTAAAAACACTTGGCGGGCACCAGGAAAGGTTGCAGCAGATGCCAGGGTGCCCATGGGCCCTGTGTTGGGGAACCCTGCTTTAAGACTTCCATATTAGACCAGGGTGGTCTTGACTTCATGGCCAGTCATTGGCCTGCATCCTAGATCCTAATTCCTAAGGATGGCAGGGAAGGAATTCCTGCCCAGAGCTACTGCACGTTCCTTGCAAGGGTTCGGTTCTGTCAAAAAAAAGCCTCCCACCACCCAGAAGAATCCCCTCCCCAAGTGATCATCCTATGTTTAGGCGGCTGAGTTCTAACAAGAATCTGCTCCCTCCATCAGGAACCGGTTGCGACCTTCTCGTTGAAGGAGATCCAGTCGACACGCACCCAGCGACCCTCGGCCGGATCCGGCTACCCCTATGTCGAGATCATGCTGGGTGACTTGGTGTCACAAAAAGTCACCCAGCTACAACTGGAGCAGGTATGACGGGAGAAGCGCTTGTCCCAAGAGGGTCGGGGTTCCCTGACAGAAAAGCCCCGGTATGCTTCTATGCTTACCTGAGCTGAGAGTTGCCACTGATGTTTCGCCTGCAGCGACATTCGAGGCACTAATTGGAAATTCGTCCTTTGGGAAACCGTTGGAGGAATTTGGGGGGGAAATTTGAGGTGGTTCAGGAATAGAAATAGGGCTGCCAAGTCTGGGTTGGGAAATTCCTGGAGATTTGGGGGGATGGAACCTAGGGGAGGGTGGGATTTGTTGAGGGACCTCTGCAGAGTATAATGCCATAGAGTCCATCCTCCAAAACTTCCATTCTCTCCAGGGGAACTGCCCTGTGCAAGTTCTACTGCCTAATCCTGCCTGGGAATTAAGATCACAGGGAGACACCCTCCTGACTGCCCCATCAATCAAAGAAGCTTGCTTGGGGGGAACTTGAGACGGGGCCTTTTCAGTGGCAGCCCCACAATTGTGGAACAACTTCCCCATGTCAGACTCTTGAACAAACAAGCTAAGACCATTCGTGTCAGAACTGACTCCTTTGGCACCAGTTCTGAAATTATACATGATTCAAAGACGCCCCCTCCCATGACAGGTCCAATCAATCCATTCATTCAGCCCGCCTAAACCTAGTGTGCTCCATTAGCCCTCCTCCCCCCACCTGCAAACCTACAGTTACATTATCTACTACAAGCGGGCTAGCAGAGGCTGGCATTCAAGGTCGTTGTGCATTCTTCCCATCGTCGGGAGGCCCGCTTGGAAAGCAGTCGTACATTAGCATAGGAAAGCAATCTGACACACCCACACACTCTCCCACAGTCTGCCCCCCCATCCCCCAAAGTGAAAGAACAAAGCATCAAAGGCAGTGAAAACAGAACATGTGAAATCTATGGCAAACGAGGACCCGAGTTTGACACCCCAGGCAAAGTGCACCTGCCCCCCCCCCACTTTTGTTCTTTAGGAGGCAGTTGAAGACAGTTTTATTTAGAATCACCTTTGAATAAGTTACAAGAAGTCCTAAACTGTGATTTTAAATTTTGGTTTTAATATATTTTATTTTATCTACTTTTGTCTATAGGGTAAGCCATCTCGAGCGCCATAAGGAAGAAAGGCAGCTAATAAATGTTTTTAATAAATTAATAATAATAATTTTTTAAAAAATTAAAATTCCCTACCCAGAGCTGGTAACCCTACTCCAAGGGTAGAGGACCAAGATTAGGTCTTGAAATCCACCTGAGTAAAATTTTGCAATTATTGTTTTAAAAACAAAAATCAAGTAATCTGTAGGTAGAATGATAGAACATCACAAGCAGAATTCATTGGTCTCTGGCTTTATTTAGCCTTTCTTCAGTACAAAAGCATTTCTTGGCTGAAAGCCTCCTGTTCCGGCAGAAACTCGACAATTATTATGAAATCTACGCTTTGTTGGAAACATTGTGAACTGCTGTGATTACACTTAACTTACATAATTCTCCCTTCTCTCCTCCTCCTCCTCCTCTGTCTCTTTCTGTCGCTTTGTCCTGATTCTCTCCACTGCTTCTCTGAAGCTTAACCTTCAGATGGTAGGTAGCTTTCCCGTGGCGTAATGCAAACTCTGTTATTCGTATCCGGGAAAGGGCCACGCGCGATTCCAGTAAACCCTTTGGGGCTTATTGCATTTTGGGTCCCCGTGTGTATTTTTGTTACGAGGAAGAAATATTAAGGCGACTTGATGTGGCAGTAATTCAGCCTCGCCTCTAGGGGGAGCACAAGTGATTAACAATGTGGAATCCTGACTGCCGGGTTACCATCTACTTTTTCAAAATGTTGCACCGCACCTTATTCTCCAAGGTGATTTACACATTTTATTATCTGACTTCTCCCTCGTTGCAAAAATCAAAACCTACGGTCGTTTCCACACGGTGATGATTAACCACTACTGTGAGCAAAAAGTCCACTGGTGGTGGTGTGTGCTGGTAGTGAGGGAAGGGAATGGTTCCAACGAGGGCAGAGAAGTATGAACATCTTCCCTTTCCTGTCCAAACGGTGGGCTTAACCTGCTTTGACTTTCTGGAAAGATTGTACCAAAACAGGTTTCTTAATGGGCAGAGCAAAGGTGGGTGAACTGTGGCAATGAACGGTTGGGAGAAAGATCAAGATGGGTAGCCCTGTTAGTCTGTCTGTAGCGGAAGAAAAGAACAAGAGTCCAGTTGCACCTTCAAGACTAACAACATTTGTGGCAGTGGAGGGGCTTTTGTGAGTCACGGCTCACTTCTTCAGATATCTGAAGGATAGAGATCAAGAGCCAGATATCTGAAGGATATAGATCAAGGATATAGATCTGAAGGATATAGATCAAGAGCCAGAGTCCAGGAGCACCTTAAAGACTAATCAAATTTGTGGCAGGGGAGGAGCTTTTGTGAGTCACTGCTCACGTCTTCAGGTATCTGAAGAACATAGATCAAGATGTATATGTAGATCAAGATAGGTGGCCATGTTAGCCACCTGAAGAAGTAGACGAGAGAAGCCGAGCCGGAGCCAAGCCGAGCCGAGCTGAAGGAACAACAAGCGAATCCCACCACTGGGTGCCGTAGGCAGCCCCCACCCCTGACCATGTGTGTGCCCATAGATAGGGATAATGAAATATGTAAGCCGCTCAGAGACACCTTGGGGGGGGTTCGAGCGGGGTATAACCTGAATGTAGTAGTAGTAGTAGTAGTAGTAGTAGTAGTAGTAGTAGTAGTAGTAGTAATAATAATAATAATAATAATAATAATAGTCTGTCTGTAGCGGCAGAAAAGATCAAGGGTCCAGTAGTACCTTCAAGACTAACAACATTTGTGGCAGGGGAGGCGCTTTTGTGAGTCACTGCTCACTTCTCCAGGTATCTGAAGAACATAGATCAAGGTGTATATAGAGATCAAGTGTAGATCAAGATGGGTGGCCGTGTTAGTCTGTCTGTAGCAGCAGAAAAGATCAAGGGTCCAGGAGCACCTTCAAGACTAACAACATTTGTGGCAGGGGAGGATTTTCGTGAGTCACTGCTCACGTCTTCAGGTACCTGAAGAACATAGATCAAGATGTATATAGAGATCAAATGTAGATCAAGATGGGTGGCCGTGTTAGTCTGTCTGTAGCAGCAGAAAAGATCAAGGGTCCAGGAGCACCTTCAAGACTAACAACATTTGTGGCAGGGGAGGATTTTCGTGAGTCACTGCTCACGTCTTCAGGTACCTGAAGAACATAGATCAAGATGTATATAGAGATCAAATGTAGATCAAGATGGGTGGCCGTGTTAGTCTGTCTGTAGCAGCAGAAAAGATCAAGGGTCCAGGAGCACCTTCAAGACTAACAACATTTGTGGCAGGGGAGGATTTTCGTGAGTCACTGCTCACGTCTTCAGGTACCTGAAGAACATAGATCAAGATGTATATAGAGATCAAATGTAGATCAAGATGGGTGGCCGTGTTAGACTGTCTGTAGCGGCAGAAAAGATAAAGAGTCCAGGAGCACCTTCAAGACTAGAAAAAACTGCGGCAGGGTATGAGCTTTCGTGACTCACAGCCAGAGGTCATTTCGGGGGGGAACGCAGTTCCCCCGGGTGAGGTGCAGGGGGCGGGGCACATGATGAAGCCCCGCCCCCTGCTTCCGGCCACCCCGCTTCCAGCTCTCATTCAGCCAGGAGGAGGCAGGAGAAGAGGGAGGGTAAGTTGCTTCCTCCCCGCCTCTCCCCACCCCTGCCTGCCTGGGGCCAGGGAAGGCCTTGGCGGGGCTTCCTCGCACTCCCGCTGGCCTTGCAGGTCCACCGCTGGGCCCCTGATGTCAGGGGGTGTGGCATATGCTATGAGTGATGCTAATGAGTTCCCCTAGCTCTTTTTCTACGAAATGACCCCTGCTCACGGCTCACTAAGAAGTGTTGGCGAGCCCTTTGAGATAGTCCAGGAGCACCTGAAGGTGAAAACGGAACACGAGAAACTGCATACGATATCGTTATTTATTATTTTGAGAATTTGCATCCTGCCTTTCTGCTTGTACAAGGCCCGCCAAAATGGCTAACACGTTAGAACAGGGGTCTCTAACATGGTGTCCATCGGCGCCGTGACATTCACTGATAGCTTTTCCTAGTGCCCACGAAGTTGGGTGGGGAAAAGTGGGCTTTTTGCCACAAATTTTGATAGTGGACTCTTGCTCTTTTCTACTGGTTGGGGGAAAAGTGTCTTGTGAATATTCCGAGGAAGGGGGAGGGATGTATGTCAGAGACCCCAAATGCCCGTGTGGAATCGACCTTTGACTGCATGTGAACGTGGACATCTGTGTCCACGTCGTACTTTCTATGCCTGCTGGAGGGAACGAGAGGAATGGCGCTTCGTGCAGTCACTTCTCCATCTTGTTTCCTCCACCAGGGATTGGAACTTTGCCGAGTGATTGCGACGCACATGGAGAACTTGTTATACGCACGAGAGAAGAGGCTCACGCTGCCGCCGAGCGAGATCACGCTGTTGTGATGGGGTTAGCTGCTCTTTTCCATTTCCTCTCCAGAGAGCGGACGAGTCCAGGCGAACCAGTGATCGATTACCGCGAGAGCTCCTGTCTGCTGTACCCTCACCAGGCCCAAATCTCTGTAGGGTCTCTGGTAACGATGGAATCCGGCCCAACAGTCCAGTCGTTAAATGGGAGTCAACACTTGCCAATTCCCAAACTGTTGTAATCGCAAATACAGTGGAGTTGGGGGGAGCCCAAAAACCTCTGGAACCAATCACATAGGAAAGGGGGCAAAATATGCCATTTGAACCCGTGGGCTAGCGACAGTGATATGAGTGCGAATTCCATGATGTGTGGCTTCATGCAGATTGCTTTTTAGTTTCCTATCTTGAAGGGTTGCCATTGCCAACTGCCAGGTGGAAATCTCCTGGAATTACACCACGTTTCTGGGCTACAAGGATCAGTTCCCCTGGCGAAAATGGCGGATTTGGAGGGTAGATTCTATGGCTTTATACCCTGCTGAGGTCCCCTCCCTTCCTCGCTCTAACCCCTGCTCTCTGTAGGTTCCACCCCTAAATCTCCAGCAATTTCCCAACCCGGAGTTGGCAACTCTAAGTCGCATAGACCCAATTGCTTAGAGGAAGCCATCAGGGCCTGGGATTTCAAATGGTGCTTGGGGGCGTCAATTGTCCCTCTGGTTTCTAGCAAAAGGCCTAGAAGCCTGTGGTAAGCCTGCGATCCAATACTATTGAGGACGTAGGAGAATCGTCTCGAGATGCTTTGCTGGACAGGATCATCCGTTGAGTGTCGGTTTGCTGGACTGCAGTTTCGGCTGGTACAGCCGAAAAAAGGGTTCAAACTGTCCTCAACTGCCGCGGAAAGCAGATCTGGAGAGAGGGCTGCATCTGGCACTGGAGGCCCTGGAAAAGGGGGAGAACAGCCGCCCAGATCGGAGTCCGAGAACCAGATGTTTTCAGGTTCTTGCCTGCCCAGCAATCGAGCCATTCGTGTTTATAAAAACAGCTGAACTCGATAACTGGCCTTTCGGCCATCGGCGCAAACAGCAGGCCTATAGCCATGGGGGGGGGGGCTTTTAAAGGAAACCCCCCCCCCCCCCATTTCCTGTGTTTTGTAAAAATACATTTGCACTCAAAATTGCGTAGGTAGAGTTGGGGAAGGGCGGGGGGATTGGTTTACAATTTGTACAAAATTAAAAGTGTCCTTTTTATGTCAACGGTCGTTTATGGCTGATTGTTCCCTTGTGATGCATCCAATAAGCGGGGGGGGGGGGTTGGCGATTGGCAGGAGGGTTGGATGGGGCGCAGCATTGCCGTTGGTTGGGTTTGTTTTTTTATTTATTTATTTATTTATTACTTTCGTCTTACTATCCCGCTCTAATCCCCGAAGGGGTCTCTGAGCGGCTATACAGTTATCCATTATCCCTATCTAAGGCCACAATTCATCATGTACTTTCTGGAAGTTCTAACCAGAAGAGACAAGTGGTAACTTTAGGAATCGCCAGGAACTCTATGGTAAAATTTCTGGTAGGTACACAAGCCTGCATTTAAAAACAAAAACAAAACAACAGTGGTGAGCAATGAGACGTGGGGGCGGGGAATCGTTGGAGAATCTACGAAGCCCTGAGGGAGAACCGCCCATCTAAGGGGTGACTTAAGTCCAGTGCTGGGGTCCTCCCACTCAAAGGCAAACAGGTCCCTAGAATCAGGGTCCAGGGCGATGCTAAAAAAACGCATCTTTGAGGTCCAAGACAGTAAACCACTGATGGCCCCCAGGAATGACTGATAAGAAAGTGTAGGGGTTGGGGAGAACAGGATGTGTGCTTTGCACTATGTCATTAATTTTCCGAAGGTCGTGACAAAGCCTCCACTTGGAGTGGGCCGCATCTTTGGGTTACGGCTATGATGGGAGTATTATAGGGGGAGTTACACTCCTCAAGCCGTCCTTCTCTAATCAACTGCTCAATCACAGGTTTCAGTCCTACACGAGCCTTGGCAGGTAAAGGATATTGGTGTATCCGGACTGGAGCTGAACCAGGTTTGACTTATTTTGACAGGGGTGACACCCAACAGCTAACCCAGGGGTGCCACCTTCCGCCCAGACTGTAGGGTCAACTCCTGACAGGGGGTTGAGCTGGGCCCCAATTGTCTGTGTGGGCTGAGAGTGGTTGGCGTCCCGTAGGGCTGCTAAGTACTAGGGGGATTCCTGCATTGGTGAGCTCAAAGTCACTCCAGTGTTCCCAAAGTGCAGGATAGCCCCAAGCTTACACAGCAGAGCACGTCCAAGAAGAGCCACAGGGCAATCAGGAGTGAGCAAGAAAGAATGAGAAAGGTGACATTCATCAACTGAAACCTCACATTCCTGCAAAAAGTTCTGAATCACTGGGTTCCCATTGATGCCAACAACAACAGCAGTCTTGGGGGGGAAACTGATAAGCCTGGTGGGGCTGTGGGGAAAGAAGAATAGGTAGCCCCAAAGTCCATAAGTGCAGTGTAGGTATTTTTCCCCTCTCTGACTTTTATCAAGGGTTCGGCGAGTGGAGTACCTGACAAACCTTGCCCCTGACAGCCCTAGGCTTGGTTAATGTCATCCATCACTGACATGTGGCTGCTAGGAGCAGAGGCAGCTGGGGGCAAGAAAATTTCCAGTGACCCTCCTCCTTGCAATATGCACATTGAGTGCGGATCAAGGGTGACCTGGCAGCCTGTCCTGATGGGGGCTGGAATGAGGAAGCCTCTTTCTGGGGGCATGCAGTCTTGGCTTTTGGCCTGGGGGCTTTTTGATATTCCTTGTTGTCAGGGCTCCTTGTGTAGAAAAAGCCCAGCAGGAACTCATTAGCATAATAGGCCACGCCAAACAGCAGGAACTCATTAGCATATTAGGCCACACCTCTGACAGCGCAACTCATTGGCATATTAGGCCACACCTCCATGTTACCAGAAGTGTGCTCATCCAGCCACACCCACCTTTTGCTGCTTATTCTGTTTACCTTGTTTGTTGTCAAAACCCAGGGCTTTTGTAGCAGGAACTCCTTTGCATGTTAGGCCACACACCCCTAAAGTAGCCAATCCTAATGAGTTTCTGCTGTTGGGTGTGGCCTATTATGCTAATGGGTTCCTGCTGGGCGTGGCAAACTTGGGAGCCAGCCGGAACTCCGTTCCTGTGCGTTCCTGCCCAAAAATAACCCTGCTTGTTGTTACCATGTAAAGCCTAAGCCAACATGGTGGTCTTAGCCCTTTGCCTTTCTTGATCGCGGTTCACATATACTTTGTAGGCTATTTCTACCAATTGGGCAGGAGTCTTTGTTGACCAGTCCTCCTGCTTCTGCAATTTCTTTTTAGTGTCCTCATAGGAATTTCCAACGTACATAGTAATCAAAGTCTGCCTATTTTTCTCTGCTTCTGGATCCAGATTGCCCCACGTATGGAAACCTTCCATCAACCTCCCCAAAGGTCTTCATCCTTTTTCTGTTTTATCTCCCGTACAGGGCTAAGGTTAACCACCCTTGGCATGGCTTTCCTCATGCCTTTTGCAATCCAAGTGCAATAGGTAGCATGCTGTTTCCTTCCATCCTCTGTTTTGTAATCCCAGACGGGTTTAGAGGATGGAACTATGGAGTTTACCTCCCGTGGCCCACCCTCCTGTGCTGGCCTGGCTTGTTCTGCCTTGTCAAGCACCAGTTTCTTATCTTCTGGAGAAAGGATCTGATTTTAAAAAATCTGCTGTGCATCTAGAAAGGTGGGCTGATACATGTTACACAAATCCTGAAATTCTTGCGCCACTCGTTCGGGGTTTTCCCCTTACCATCGGAGTGATTTCTTCCACGTCATTAGGTCAGTGGTAGAGAATGGGCAGCAGACAAATGTTGTAGAGGTCCCATAGAGGTCCCGTGGTTAGGGGGGAGGTGCCAATCACAGGACAATCCTGTGGCACGGCAAAGAAGCGTCCTCTCTAGCAAAAGGCTCCGCGGGTTTAACCCCTTCCAGGGCTGCAGAGGACTGCAAACTGTGCCCTCCGTCCGGTCCCCTCCAGGAGGAGCTTCAGCCTAGCCGCCCTCCCGCCATGCCCCCCCTGCACCTCCCCCTCTGCCGCCCGAGCAGGCCGAGCCAGGAGTGAGGGGGTACGGAAGAGAGGAGGGGGCTGTGTTGTTTGTTTTTAAACGAAGTGTGCGCATGCGCCATTGGGTGCTTGTGCGCATCCTGTGGAGACTTGGGAAAAAAAACCTTTTAGCGACGGGACATGGGCGGGTGCCGGATGCCATGACCTACCACCAGAAACGCGATCAGGCACCCGCCCTTGCCCTGCGGTTTCCGGAAACTAGTACCTTGGAGGTACTAGTTTTTTACCCCGCATCTTCGGCGGGAAGCCTCGGGTTCGCCACGGGAGCTCTACGCTTCCCAGATGTGGCGCTGTGATCGCGCCCGGAAAATCCGCCTATCTTCCGTCTCTGTAGCGTGGCTAATGCACCATATGACCGCAGCAGTTGTCTGGCTAGTACCTGTTACCATCTCTCTTGGGAGCATTACCAAGGATGCAGGCTGGTCAGTGACAGGAGCTGGCGGTGGAGACAGAGTGGAGGGTGGGGGCTGGTTGGTGATGTAACCAGGGGTCATTTCCTGCAGGAGCACACAGGAGCAGAGCAGTAAAGAGCCCAGGGCGCGGGCACATGCAAGAAGCCCCACCCCCTGCTCCCAGCAGCCCTCAGTCAGAGCAAGAAGCAGCCAGGTAAGCTGCAAAGCCCCCCCCCAAAAAAAAACCAGTCTAGTGGCACCTTTAAGACCAAGTTTTATTTAGGTACAAGCTCTCCCTCCTCTGAGAGGACAGATCTGCATGTCTCCCCCCCCCAATAGCTAGCAATCCAAAACAGTCCAGTGGCACCTTTAAGACCAAGTTTTATTTAGGTACAAGCTCTCCCTCCTCTGAGAGGACAGATCTGCATGTCTCCCCCCCCCAATAGCTAGCAGTCCAAAACAGTCCAGCGGAGTCTGAGCGGTGGGTGTTGCCT